TAAAATAAGAGTGACCTCAGATCAGAGCAGCGGACAGGTATAGCAAAAATAGCCATAATAAAGTTGATAATTTATTATTAACGACTATTATCTCTCAGATATTAGAGGGGGGAGTAGTGGAGAAGATACGAGTTGCAAATCTGAATATTTTTTCCCCGAATACTCGTCTTGACTATCGAATAACCGTCAATATAGAAAAGCCAAGTAAGCTTTTTTATGAATTTTCATAGCTTTATTGTTTGTTGTTATTATTATTATCGCTTTCGTCGTCGTCGTCGTCGTCGTTATTATTATTGTTATTAGTATAATTATTATAATTATTATAATTATTGTTGCAATGAGAGCTGAATTTGAGTTGGGTTGCTATTTTGCGTGAAAGTGAATATGCCTAAAGGTCAGCCGGATTTTGAACGGAATAAAGATCGAATGACCTATCTGCACCAACAATTTAAATTTGACTTGACACAGGTCAAGATTCCAGAGGTAAAATGAAAATTTCATAGTTAATCTTTGCACAAGTTTATTTTTTCGTTTTCACACTTTCTTGTCATTATCCTCTTAGAAACCTTCTCAAAATGGAGTTAGAGCACCCAGTCAAGAAGTCACTCATGAGCTAGAGGTGGAATTTCGCGATCCAAAGATACTGCTCAGGGAACGACAGAAAATCGAACAAGGCATGCCCAACCAGTTTATGGAGATCGTTGAAGTGTTTCTGGATAATATTCGTACTTTGGCACAAAAAGATATGGAAATAAAAAATAAAACATAGATAATATTCGCGTATTAGCGAATAAAGATATGAGATGCGAAAGAAATCATTATTTGGCAAGCTTGCTTATAACATTTTTAGTGCAGAGAGAGAGAGAAAATTTTGTCGTAATACACATGGACTTTATTGTTATGTTTGCAATAAAACAATTCAAATAACTCGTACGAGAAGAACGCATTTTTGCAATAAAATAAATCGATAACAAATTATTATTTTTAAATACTTGAATTAAAAAACAGGATGTCTCTTACTTGCACATTAAACTAGCTCTATACAATGTTCGTTTATTGAATTATATTTATAATTGTATATATATATGTGTGTTATTAAAAATACCATAGCATGATTGCTACTATAATAATTCTAGTTAGAGAGAAAATTGCTGTACAAATGCTGAATTGATGATTGATGATTATTAATTAATGAAGGAGAGATAATGAAACATCTACACTTGGTTGATTGATCTATTAAGATACAGATAAAACGTTAAACCTCTGTGAACAAATAAAATAGCACAATAAAATTACATACCTGCTCACACTTTCAAACAGACGTTCGATATCGGTTGCACATCGTGTAAAGGAATGGCTCCAGAAATCGTAACGGGGATTCTTAATCAACTCAATAAATGTAATCAAGAGTCCCCAAGGGTGAGGTCGATTCACTATTAGCCTTTCCAGAAGTACTCTGCATCAAAAAGCACACTTATAATTAATAATCAATTCGATTAATGTACTATAATCATTAATAATTAAATAATTTACCTTGTCACTTGTTCTTTAATAAGTTCTTGATTGCTTTCTGCAAACAGGTACAATAGGATGCAACTGAAGTAATGTGTATGACTATTAGGGAATCGTAATTGATTGGCAATGGCGCTTAAAAAGAGGTACCGGCCTAAACAAATTATCAAAACTTCATTAAAAGCTATAAAAAAAATAAATAGCAATAGTGAATTCGAGGATTACCCTCAGAGTCCAAATTATTGAGCAACTGTCGAAATATTTCCATGGATGCGGAATGAGTTAATGATGCCGTTGATTGTTTGTTGTCCTGTAGTTGGTTGATAGCTTGAATCCCAACGTACAGTACAAGAGCATTAATAATTGGTACATTGTATTTTGAGCCCTCTGATTGGTCGGTCGAATCCAACAAGAGTCGGTTTCTCAAGTCCATCAGAAATGAGGGAGGTTGACAAGTTTGAAGATACGTGTCTACATCCTGTTTCAGATTGTTTGCTAGTAAAGCTGACGTGTAATCAGAGAGCACGCGCGGCGATTGAGTGATTTCAGGTAATAAATCAACTTTTAGGTTAGGTGTGAATGGATCGGGTAGTCTCATATTTCGCGGAAAGGCGCTCAATATCAGATTTCTTAGTTGTATGCATGATGATGGAATTACATCACAAAAGCTGAAATGATAATCACAAAGAAATTCAGGAAAGTCGTGTAGAAGGACCAAGAGAACACGCAATGTTCCTTTATATAGTAAACGTGTTGTGTCTCTCATTTCAACATTTCGGAGGAACGGAACCAGGAATTTGAAAAGGCATATTAGCAACCGATGAAACGTCGACCAGCCCTAAAAACAAAAGTCATTAACAAATTGTAACATTAAATACAGGGTAAGGAGGTATATTATTAATATTACCTTTTGGTTTTCAGCCAGTAGTAATTTTGGCATGAAAAGACGATGAGAGATTAATGAGAGCCAAGCAAATGTAAATCCGGGGAAGAAGGAAGGTTGCAGAGTATGGAAGGTATTACTATTCGATACAAATAATTTATAATAAAATGAAAATTAAGTAAATAGATAATTATAATAATTTTAGTATAACTTTTACACGTAGAGTATGATTACACTGTAGCCGTTATAATAATAATAATAATAATAATAACTTTTACCTTAAATTTGTAAGAATTTGGAAATAAATAGGCTGAAGTTGTTGCTCGTATGAATTCAAATCATTAAGTAAACTCGTAAATAGTCGGAAGAATGGTTTTTGATTGAACTGCTGCTGACGTTGCTCATGTGCTTGTGCGATTACAAGCACAATAAGTGATATAATCTTTGCAAGGTAATTTACTTTCGCTACATTATTGTTTATGCCTTCTGGGTCCGAATGATATTTCACCAACAACACAATTAACTTTGAGAAAGCATCAACAGCTTGAAAAGCGACGGCAGGCGCTGTCTGCACGGCCGCTTTTTGTTTTAGATAACTGTCGACACTCATTTCTGTGCAGAGTCTGAAAAACATTGATGAGATTTCATCGCCTTTTAATATGCCTTGATTTTGTAACTATTTTAAATATTAAGAGATATTGTTAATGATATTTGCTTTAACTTAGTAATTAAATATATGATATATGATATTTACCTGCATAATGAAATTAGCAAAAGTTTTTTCATTTGAAGTAGGGTGTTGATAAATTCTAACCCATTCAGCAAATACAATGGACAATTGTTCACGCATTCCGTCACGCACCCGGCGTAATTCTTCAAGTAGTAAGATAACATTCTCCGGTGCCTTTCCTCGTCGCGTTAGTCTTTCAAGTGCATCCAAAGAATTGAGGAAATCACCCCTTGAAGCAATAGCAGGTTCTTTTAAAACACACTCTCGGACTAATTTTGTCGTGAAATCAATGACTGTTGGCCGACCACTCTCAATAAGTTTCGCTAATTGCACGTCTTGTTCAGCGACGTTGATAAGCCCTGCTTTTATTAAAGCGACAACTACTGGCACGATAAATTTGCGATCATCGTCAGCATAAAGCAACCATGCAGTCACTTCCTTGCCTACTTTCACAGAGATATCGCAAAGTTTTTCCAGGAGAATAACGTAAACTTCGCGTGAAAGATTGGAATCATTCTTATATAAGAGTTGAACTACTTTTTGAGAGAAATTGAGTGCTGTTTCATCGCGATGTACAAGTGATTGAGCAGCAATTAAAGGAATTTGATTCACGAGTACTCGAATGTCGTGATTCTGAGGAAGCGAAGCCCAGGATGCTTGAGGATTTTTACTGATTAATTTATCAAGCTCGGCCAAGTATTGCTAATAGGCGGAAAAAATCATTAGAATTTGTTTGATGGTATATATTGTTTTCACATGTTCACACTTACAGTAAATCGCTCAATATTTTGCTGGGCCGTTATTATTTGAGAATTATCAAATGAAATTTCATTTGGAGGATATTGCAATGGTATGTCTTGACCCCGATGTATTCCATTACCTCGAACACCACCACGATCTTCTAATGAGGTTATGAATGGAAAGAAGTAAAGTATTAGAAACAATAATGCTTGCTGATATTTATTGGTAAGCAAGCAAACCAGATACCATAATTGGGCGCTGGTTGATTTGTCATACGGATTCTAGAGAAATCCTCGTATACTCTTAGTTGCTGAGGCAGCAGTCCTGAAGGCTTCAATCGTAGCGGCTCTGGAAGACTATTCATGTAACGCGATATGCTGGAAAATACCGTCATATCGTAATATGGTTGTGCTGATCGCTAAAAATGTTAGAATTCGACATAAAGTAGTTATAATCCATGAATGGAATAAATTCATTTAATATAATAAATAATAATAAAATATATTACTTCACGATGTTTCTTACGATCAGAGAATGATCGTGACAAGTTTTCCTCAATTTCAGGGATCGCTTTATCCATAGCAGATTTTTCAACAATAGAACAAGCCAAATCTAGATTTTCAGCAACTTCAAGTAGAATTGCCTGTTCCGAAATGCTCTGTTGCAAAAAAATATTATATTTAAGAAAAAGAAGATAAAATGAGAAATTTGATTAGATAGCATCTTACCTCAGTAAATCCATTTTGAAGCAAGAGATTACGCAAATGTGTCACCATACTCATACGAAGAGGCTCTTTACACGTAACAAGCGCGAGACTACCAGCCAAGTTTTGAACCATTATGTGTGCGGCATTTCGCATTTTCTCTTCATTGGGTTCCATAGCAAAGTCTTTAAGTATTAATTCCTTTGTGGATATACAGGCAATTGTGACAGATCTTTCAACAACAGGACCAATGATCTTAATAAAAAAGGATAGATAGTATTAATTTATCGATAAGTTGCTTATAAAGCAAAGAATTTTAAGGCAAACCTCTTGAATAGCCCTTTCAATAGTCAAATTAACAAGTTTTCGAAGCCCTGGTTGATTGGCAAACAATGGGATGTAGTTTATGTAAGGAGCCACATTTGAAAGGATATTTAATAAATTCTCATCTAATAAACATATTTTGTTAATTCAAGGCAAGACAACCAACGTGTTTCGATTACCAAAAATAATGAGATAACTCACCAGGCAACGGCACTGAATTAGCACCGGTAGTTTGCGTTCCTTGCAGATTTGGAGGTGGGGGAGCTTGCTGTCCAGGGGTTGTTGGTTGACTATTACTATTATTATTGTTGTTGTTGTTGCTGCTGCTGCTGCTATTGTTATTGTTGTATGCGTTGTTATTATTACCATTAATTGTCCAACCCTCAAATGCTTGTATGAGTCGGTCAGTGGGCTGTACAGGAGGTTCCTTAGGTGGTCGATCTTTAAGAATAGATGTAGGCTCAATGTCTTTAAGTTCTATACTTAAACTCTTGCATAACACCTCAATCTCGAATTTGAGATTTAATTTCAAGTCCGCAAACTGATATAATTCAACCAATAGTTTAAGGATTGCCATTAACCAGGGATTTGGTGGTTTGAACACTTTACTCTTGCTGGCTTGTTCGAGTACTTTACACACAAAAGGAATTGCCACAATAAGTTTATTACTATCATAACCTTCTATTAAAAGCTCCTATAAATGTACAATTTATGGATGTAAGTAATGAATATACATAAAAAATATTTTGTGTAAACCAACCAACCTTAAAAGCAATATTCTTATGCTTGATTGGCTTGTTTCTCGCTAAAGTCATACCACCAAGCCATGAACCAAGATTTTTTAATAGAGATCGCTCGGTAGCAGATTGCGGTGTCTTCTCCGAGTTCAACAATACCTTAATATTGGCAAATGTTTCGTGCAACACATGACGAACTAATAACTGACTATCTAATGCATCCAGGAATCGTAAATAGAGTTGATGATAGTTCGGTTCAATGCTTGCTCTTTTAACTACAAGATAATTGGCGAACCATCGAAAATGGGATTCCTTGAGTATATCCTTCATTTCAGCGACTTTCGAGTCCAAATTACTTTGAGCAACATTATTCACTATAAATAATATCTTGTCTTGGATTGCTTCACTTGGAACTTCATAATCGACTTTATCCGCTGCCAGTAAGGTATCCAGATTTAAAGCAGTAAAAGCGGGTTTGGATTCCAAAGGAAGGATTGTGGTTTCGAGTGGTGGAGTTTCGCTACTGCTAGTTTCATTATTATTACTATTATTGTCTATATTATTGTTGACACTATTACTAATATTAATGTTATTGTTTGTAAGATTAGTTGTGGCAACATCAACGGAGAAACTGGCATTCATAGGGGGAGGTCGAGGTTCGCCATTACTTGTGCTGGCATTACTACTATTTGCTTGAAGCGCAGCTCGAACATACTGAATAATTTCGGGGTGCGACTGCTGAAGATGAGGAATTTGCAAAAGATGTGAACAATACTGAGGCCATTCTGGAAGACGTGATTGGAATTGAGTTAGTGCTTGAACACCAAAATTGAACATCTTGGAATCCACGGGATTTCGTAATGCACTCAAGACATAACGTAAAGCCACAAGAGCCATATAACCGACGAGCTGAGATTGAATCAGCGACCCAAAGATTATGCTTGTGATTGTAAGTTCACGTTGTGGATATTTGGGAAAGAACTGGTATTCATCGAAAAGATTGTGCACCATACACTCGAAAATTCTATTTTCTCTTGGATCGGGCGAATTCTTGAATTTTGAAAGAAGCTTAATCATCTCGTCGATGCTTATTTCTTGTCGATAAACTTTCTCATAGTAAGAGTTAGCTTCTGCTTCTACTTCGGGAGAGAAACTCGGTACTGGAGCAGTAAGGCTAGTAGGTTCGGCAGTAGAACCCACGCTCATGTGAGGATATACTTGTAAAGTAGTGTTATGAACTTCCTTCAATAACTCGGTATTTTCAACAGACATTTGACTACTACTATTATCATATAATTCCTGAATCATTAGCAACTAATTAAAATATAAGAACTACTATGAAATTCTCTTAAATACCTATTCAATAAAATCTTTAAGAAAATGGCTGCAACTTCCATCGAGAGACGGACAGAAGAAAAATTATTGCCATTAGTATCGCGCGTTGCTTCCATTCCCATCTTACAATGCAGAAAATCTAGACAATCATGGATAAAGGGATCTCCGTATTCGGATATATTATCTTGTAGCCATTTTTCGAGATTAAGATATTCTCGCCGGGACGCGAGAGCAGCAAGATCTATTGTAAATACAAACTGTTGGACTTGTAGAAGCTGTGGCAATATCTAACATAAAAATGAGTTCCAGCACGTAATATTATGGTTAATAGACGAGGTATAACTAGAAACTATAAACATAGTAGATAGGCGTACCTTTAAATCTTGTGCAATATCAAGTATTCTCGAAATATGCATCGCATCTTTCTTGTACAAGTCAAGGCATCCTTCAATAAACAGAGTAGGATTAACTTGCCAGAGACGTGTCAAAACAAGTGTCGAACTTGAATGACTTATTAAAAACATTGACAATAATTTATTAATAAGTTCCTGATGCATCGGACTCCAAGGTTTCTGTAAATAAAAATAGTCATTAGTGTGTGCTAAGATGCTATATAAGTGCATTAAAATCTTTCACATACGTGAACTTGCGCTAGTCCTAAAACTACGAGTTCTGGCGTTTGCTTGGAAGCTTTATCAAATAAATCTCGAACTTTCTCGAAAAATTCAGAATCTGCAAGTTTAATTAATGTTTCTATGAAATCTAAAGAATTCCAAGACTGCGAAGTTAACATCGGGGCCAAAGATTTGACATTGGCACCAGAAGTAACAAAGTCCTCCATAGTCAGAACTCTTCTCGTATGCATCTCGTTGATATTAAATATTTCTATTGGTGCATTCGAAATGCATCGTAATACACTGAATTGTCCATCAATATTTGTCCAACGACCCCAAAATACATTTAATGGAAAGGGTTGTTGATCCTAAAAATGAAGAGATTATTTTAAATAATTTATTTAAATATAAATTACCAAGAATTACAATATACTTGTTATTTATTATACCTTGACTGCTGTTTTAAAACCTTTCAACAAGATATCCAGTCCTTTTATATCTGATATGAAAAGTTCCGGATAATCAAGTTCTTGATATATTTTTACCCAACTCAAATGTGGTTGCTAAACATACCAAAAAGAAACTCCTTATATTAGTATGAATTGACTACATCAGCCCAAGAAATCATCATACTCACCAATTCAATCAAAGTGTTAACAAATGTTTCGACATCCCAACTTTCTTTTCGCTGAGCCTCACTAGCTTCAGCATTTGGATTCCAAGGCATATTACCCGTGTTTTGGCTTTCAGTAGGCATCCCTGCCATCATACCCAAGACCTGTGCAACATCACTTTCTCGAATGATATTACCCGAGTCGGGAGACGTCACATCAAATTGAGCAAGAAGATTACGAACAGCTGTTGGTGATTCGCAACAACTATAACCCATATCCGACATAACTTTTGCCAATGAAACGTTCGGATTCGCGGGGGGACTAGCAGTAATATCATCCATTTTCACTTGAGTAAAATCGCTACATGATAATATAAATTTTTGTAAGCACTCTGATCTCGTATAAGAACTTTAATAACAACAATATATCTATCTCTATATAAATAAGTTACCTCGCCGTGATTTCTTTGTTGTTATTTAAGAGAGGAAATAAGACAGAAGGTACAGGTTTTGAGACAAATTTAGATCTAGCTGCTTCAGCTGGTGCGTCAAGTTGTTGAGTTGCAATAGAAAGACTCTCAGCCTGATATGATTTGAAAAAAACAAGTAAATGATGAAGTTGTTGATCAGATGTGTTCTTCTGAATGGAAGGATCTTTTAATGCCTCGACAAGTGAGTCGAAGTTATTTGTAATAATTTCTCCGGCTAAATAATAGAAAAAGAAACAATTAATCTCCAGTAATAATTTACAGAAATTAAATCGTCATAAACATGAATATTCATCCTAAGTCACCTTTCTCTTCTATCTCTTTTTTCGTCGCTGATAGCAAAGAGATGCTTAGCGATACTTTTTCGACAGGATTCAATCCAACTTGATCCAAGAAACGATTAAGATCAAAGTTACGGAATGAATCGATATTATAGATGGAATTTAAGGCGTCACAGAAAACAGCCGAAAGCGTTGGATTGCTCGCTGACTGTTTGACTTTATCAATCAACAGACGGTAATCGAGGGAACTGTAAATAATAACTTCCGAGTTACTACGATTTCCGGTGTTGAAGATTTTTGATTGGTTGTTAATGAGCAGCCTACGTAATAAGTGGAAATAAATGTCGTGACCGTGCTGCTCTATCAACTATTGTATTTTGGTATTTGTATTATTTGTAGGAAATGGAAAAGAAGTTGATTCGAATTTTTTTAAACGGAGTGTGAGATTGTAGCATGTAGCACAAATTCATAAAAAAAAGTATTTGTTTAGAAGTTTAGCGCATACAGCCTTCAAAGCCACTCAGCGCTCTATTTCAAATCAGTTCTCTTAAACGGCAAAGATTCTAAAAAATGAACTTACTGAATCAATTTCTTCAACCTTTCGAGCGTAATCGTCAGCGGTGAGCGTTGACAACAAGAACGATATTTGAGCTTTTACAATAGTACTTAAGCCCGTGTGAGACGAAGGTCTCTGATGGGGCGTAGTGGGCGACGTCTTTGCTGTTGTTGCAGAGGAGTTACTGTTTACAGGCGGTGGTGGGGAGAAGGACGTGAAATTAGGTTCCTCACTGTTCATAATTGAGCAGAGAACATGATCGCCTTAGTTGGTTGTTTTTTGTGGTGAGGAAGCTAATAACAGTATACTCAAAAAAGGGGCGTACTTAGAAATTATCACAATTCACGTGACTTTTCATCAATAATTTATCTAATCCTGCATGTAGTATCTTCATTTAACATCTTAATTCCGGCCAACTTTACAAAAAAGAATAAAAATAATACCATGCTCGTCAAAAAAAATTATTAATAAAGCGCGTCTATCTTTTCTAATTAACATGGAGGAAGCGGGAACTTCAACCTCGACCTTTATTCCCAAAAAAAACATTACCATTGACGAGGCTTTGGAGAAGTTAAAGCAACGGTGTGATGAAGAATGGCAACAAATAGTAAATGTAAGAGAGATAGACATCTTACGAGTTTTGATCATATTCGTTAAAAGAGAGATTTAAAGTACTTTTGTTTAACAAAGTAGCTGCAACATAAAGTGATTGTCCCAAAACAAAATGAAAGCCCGCTATATACGACACAAAGTAAGGTATAAATTATCTTACTTGGAGATCGATCTTTCTTTGGCCACCGAAATGCACTCACCTTGATCCCTGAATGAATTTAGAAAATAGCCATATTAAAACGAGAAGAGCAAAGACTGCTTTTTGAGATTGAAATGGGAAAACGAGGTAGGGTATTTTTTATTTTCGTTTAATGGATATTTACTATTATAAATCGCTTGGTAATATATTAATGAATGAAAAAAATATGAAGAGATGAAAAAAACCCAAAGTGTACCATCCCTTGTTGATGAACTTTTAGTTCGAAAACAAGTACATCAGATTATACAACAATATAAGAGATCAATTCCCTCGTTACGTCAAGAATTACAAAACACGAGGGATAAAACCCAGAGGTTAGTAAATACGTCATTTAATATTTTTCAATTATGGCTTTATTGTCGGATCCTGAACGGTGGGAGGGGGGGTTTTTTTCCTTAAGAGAAAAACAAACACTCGAAGAAAGTGATGCAATTAATTCCGCTTTAACTTTGCGTGTTGAAAAATTAAAAAACCACGATTCTCAAGATTTGACATCAACTCAGAATGCAGAAATTAGGTATTGAACATGATTCTCTTTTACTGTTTGTTGATCGAGTTATTTTTATTAACACGCAAAAATTTGTCGTGTGATAACAACCTAATAATAATTTAGTCAGATGCAAGAAAAACTTGCCACTGTAAAGAAGAATCTGCAATTTTTAATGGAGGAATTAATTGCATTTCTTGATAAACATTTTCCGTCAAAATCGCTGTTATCAGAAGTATGAGTTTCAATTTTTTTGTTCTGTATAAAAAAAATCATTTTGGTTTTTATTGAATGAATGAACATCATTGAATAACAGGAATCATCCAAAAATGACGAAGATGATGAATCAGATGAATCAACTTCATCTTTAAAAGTTATATTAGAAGTAAATAAAGCAACTAGTTATTTTTTTTATCAATTCAAAGAATTTTTTCTAATAGTAACCTTCCCTCCTCTCAAACTCACATATAAAAAATGTTATGTTCAAAAAAATAAATAAAAATTACAGGATTTAATGAATCTATCATTCTCGAAACCACATGATCCGTGGCTTCTAATTGATGAAGCAAAGGTATGGTCGCCATATGTAGAACTTTTGATACGTGCTGAAATAGCAGTTCGGAATCCAAAAGACGCTACAAAGATCAAATTGGTTGATTTTCATGTGTAGTTTGTTTTGATTTTTTTAATTTGTTACCTTAACAATGGTCACATGTCATTAAATTTATAAGTCAATTTGGAAACTCGGTCGTTTAAACATCCTTACGAAATAACGATTGCATAGTTTATTTTTCAGTTTGATTAGGGAAACACGGATCAAGATAGTACACAGTGCAAAAACTGAACCAACAATTACAAAAGACCCACATTTAAAAGTCTAATATTGTAAAATGATTCAAATTATTGTGTTTAAATACGATAATCCACTTGATCATCTAACCAACTGTTTAGCTTTGGATCAAAGCAGCCAAAATCCACGACCAATGTCAGATTACAATCCTCCTTTTGATGTAGAAAAAATTTATCATTTGTGCTTGGTTCGGAAAATTCTATATAGTAATGTTAACATTTTTGTATGGTCAAAAAATTTACGCATCCTTATTGATCAGGATCCGAACATGGATTATTTATTCATCATGACAAGACAAATTTATTTGACACGGCTCTAGAAATATTATTCAGAGGGATCATGACATGTTATTTCTTAATAATTTCAAGTTTATAATCGCAAGTATTAATACTCACTATGCTAAAAATACAATGCGTTTCCTTAATATCATCTAATCAGTATATATATGTCTCCGAGTATCATCAAATAAATATGATTCACAATTTACAATTCAATCAATAGCGGGGCTTCTTCGATTTGTTGCGATTGATGGGGAGGTAATTGCTGGGGTTGATAATTTTGCCCATAAGATTGCTGTGAATATTGATAGTAATTAGATGGTTGGACTTGTGCACCAGATATCGGTACTTCTTGTTGCTGTGATTGATATCTAGAAATGCAACTTATTAATCATTTAATTTTAATAGCAAGTATCAAAAATTGGTATTAAAAAAAAAATACTTACCCTACGTGTTGATTGTAACCTTGTGATATAGATTCCACACCATTAACTGATTGTAATTGTTCTTGTTGTTGATAATTGGCATTAGGTTGTTGATATTCGATGGGATTCGAAGCGACGACAGCATCATTATTTGTTCCCGAGGTAGGTGCGGTTGTTTGCTGCGTATATGAATAAGAATCATAAGGTACTTGTTTAGATTGTATACATTGCTGTGAATAAAGTGCTTGCTGATCAATCTGATTTGAATATTGTTGATTAGCGATTAATGATTGGGAAGGGTAATAAGTTGGTGATGATGCAGGCGCTGAGGCAATTGGATAATTAAGTTGATGATAAACACTTGATGTTTGTGCAGCTGCATTAAGGTTTGGATATAAAGGTCCCACACCATGTGCTCCAATAGAATTTACTCGCTGTGAAAAATGTGACATGGTTGAACCTCGACGCGTATATGCACTAGAAATACTCTCTTCCAACAGTCTGTCATATAATTTGACAACTTGCGATAATTTTTCATGCATATCTACAAGATCCTCTGCACAAAAATTAAAAATTAGTATAATAACTTGAATAATGAAAACCCATTAAACTGGGAAATTTTAATTTGCTTACGATGCTTTTGTATTGATTCACTCAAAGTTTTGGTTAATTTTGGTTTTAATTCACCAATTCTTTCATATAATTCCTAAAGAAAAAATTATTAATGCAGATTCGTGAATATTAAAAGCACTTCACTAATCAACTAAAAGTAGACACCTGCACTTGACGATCTCTCATCAAATCACTTCCACTTTGCTGAATTCGTTCTACTATTTCAGAGAATTTCTGAATATTTTCAGATTCAATTGCAGAAAGTTCGTTACTAGACACTATTGCAGTTGATGGCTTGTATGATTGGACGTCATATCCTGTATGAGCGGATGAATAGTTTGATGTGTGTATAGATGAACTTTGTCGATTGAGATTCATCTCTTGTAATGAAGCTGCAATAGCAGCTTCTAGATCAGCAGCTTCTTGTTCCTGAGCCGATATCTTTTAAAAAGGTAACATTGAATGGTCATTTAAAGTTTAAATACTGACAAATACAGATAGTTATACATTAGCTCTACCTGTTCTTGGGATGGTTCCGTAACTTTTTGAGTCGTATTTTGCTTAGAAGATGGAAATCCACGACTGGATTCTGCTTCTTTTAATGAAAGTTCTATAGCTTTCTTATAATCTTCGTCATCGTCATCTTCATGATGAGCATTTGATGAGTTTGTTGTATTGCTTCTACCATTGGGCAACGAATTAGTGTGCGAATGTAAAGAATTTTGCACAGTTTTTTGTGCATTCTGTGCATTCTGTTCAATGCTTGCACTAAATTAGATTTTAATTAATATCAAAATTAATTAATTATTCATATAAAGATACAATTATCAAAGTCATATATAAATTGCTACCTTCTTGCTTTTAATTGTCTTTTCATATGACATGAATCGCAAACTCTAACTGGGTCATTTATGCCAATATGAGGCAATGCCATTGTCTTTGAAGAGCAATCACCACAGAAAGTTTGTCCGCAATTACGACAATGATGCTAAATATAAATAAGGGACGTTAGCCCTATCTAGATAAATATATAAAAGATCTTCATTAATTCAATACCTTTCTGTTAAAAGTGGTAAATTGTGTTCGACATCGCGTGCACACATCACTGTCCGTCCATTCTGGAGGCTAAAGAATATTATTAAAAAATAAATTAAGAAGAATTATTCAAATATCTCGAAATTTATAACTCACTGTTTCAGTGTCGATTATGACTGAGGATGTGGCTTTTTCGAGTTTCGGAAACGTATATTCTAATTGTAAATAATAGCACAAAACCGGAGATGTTAAGAGTGCATTCTATGCTTTACGTGGATTAAAAATATTATTATTTCAGACCTTCTTTTAACAAGCGATATGTATCAGAAACAAAGCTCAATTCAGGTTTTCCATCAAATGCAATTCCCCATGTTTGAATCAAATGCAAGAGTTTTGACCTAACCTCATGATTACAATTCTGTAAATAATAAATAAAGAGAAATTTAAAAATGAGCCAATTAAAGTGTATATAAGAATGAGTTTAAAATTCTTTGAACTTACAGGTGACATTAGAAGTACTACAAGATTATCCACGAATTCGCGAGAAGCAATCTCTATTAGAAAATGATGGCCACCGTTTTTAACACAGGTATCAGTCAACTATAGAAAGGGTTTAGTTGGAAAGTACGTTTAAAGCTCAATTCCAATAAAAACGTGATTTAACTATTACATTTAATCAGACTTACATTCAAAGCTAAGAGTTGGACGTTGGGATTGCTATGATCAATTCGTTTTTTTAAAGCTTTCATGGCATCCTTGGCAGGAACAGATTTGCTGCGTATTTGATCGGAAATATCAAGATTTAATGCTAAATCTTCTTGTCCTTTAGGAAGTAATTCTGAAGTAGCTTTTTCTGATGTATATAAGTTTAATAAGTAAATTGCTTTAACTTAAATGTTAAACCTTTTTTTAGAATTCGAACTTTACCAACTAGCTCGTCAAAAGGATTTGAACCCCAAATTCTTGATACCATTTTGCTCGATTTATTTGAACGTTTAATACACGTAGTTGTATTATCTTTGTCGTTCTATTTTATATGTCACAAAAGGTAGATCATCAACATTTGCTTTAGATCACGGGAACCATTAATTGATTTAATAAATGATAGAAAACTTTAATAGTAATGAATAATCTAGCAATAATAAATAAAATAATAATTTAAATATACTTGATATATTAATATAATTTTTCAAAGAAAATTATAATTATTAATATAATATTATAAAATTTTTATAATAATTATTTATTTATTTTTATAATCAATTTATATATTATAAAAACTAAAATTTATCTGAGATTATTCTATAAGAAATTTGCTTATATACTATTAAAAATAATTTTAATATAATTATTTAATATCAGTTTCTTTCTGTTAAATTTTTCAGATATTATAATATATATATATATAATCTCTAAAATTAAGTATAAAAGAATAAGAAGAAAATAATATATTTAAACTTTTTGAATAATTACTTATTAAGAAAATTAAAAAACTAAAATAAAAGATATATTAAAACTTAATTATAAAACTAAAAGTCTAGATAAATTATTTTAAATATTATCAGATTAAATTTAATAATAAATTATCTATTATAATATTATACTTAATAATAATATATATAAAATAAATAAGTATAATATATTATTATTCTTATTTATAATTATTAATAATTATTTCTATATATATTTTATTATTCAAGTTTTAGTTAATAATAAAATAAAAAAAAATCTATAAATAGTTTTTAAAATTTTTATTAAATTATAAAAAAAATTAAAAATAAATTAACTTTATATCTTTATTAATTATTTAATAAAAAAATATCAGAATTATATTAAAATTTATAAATATTTTCTTTATAATATAATAAATAATTTTATCTATAATAAATAATAAGATTATTTAATATTATTTTTAATAATATAAACTCAATCTTTATTAAATCTGATTTATTTTTTTATAATAAATTTTATTAATAAAAATATAATAATAATTAATAATAATTGATAATAATTCTATAAAATATTTAAATTAAATTTATTTTATAAATTATAAAGAAGATATTTAAATTATTAGATAATTTTATTAATTTTTATTATTTTATATACTATGTTAAAAATTTTAAATATTTATAATAATTACTATAATATATTATTTTAATTAATTAATTATTATTTTGATCTAATCAATAAATTTTAATATCAGAATTATATAATAAGTTATCTTTATTTTTATTTAATAAATTAAAAATATCATATTTTTAAATAATTTAAAAATTATTTCTGTTAAAATATTATCTCATATCTTTAAAATTTATTATAATTTAAATAATATTTTAATTTTTATTTTTTATTAATTAAAACTTTTTTTTTACTTATTTATAAATATTATTTTTTTTTATAATTTATTAATATATATATATATTTAAAAATTAAACTATAAATATTAAATTATTTAAAATAATTATAATATATATATTATTAATATTATATTTTTAATAAATTAAATTAGTCTTATACTTTTTAAATAAATTTATAATAAGAAATAAGAGAAATTTATTTATTATTAAGATTTTAATTTACTTATTTTTAATATTATCTATCTATTTATATATTAAATTTTTATTTATTTAAGTCTTTTTATATATATAATACAAGTAGTTTATAAAATATTAAAAAAATTACTTACTTAAAATTACTATAATTATCTTAATATTTTATTAAAATAAAAATAAGTAATTTCTATTATTTTTATTAAAAATAATTAATATTATTATTTTAATTTATTTTAAATTATTTTTAAGTAAGTAATAAATATTTAAATATTAATTATTTTATTAATAAATTTAAAAATTTTTAATTTTAAAATATTCAATATTATTAATTATTATAAACTAATACAAAAAAATTGGTATACTAATATAAAAATTAATAATTATTTTTAATAAAAATCATTCAAATTTTAACTAATTTTTATAATTTTTTTATATTAAGTAAAGAATAATCTAAATTAACTTTTTATACTATTTTAATTATTCTATTATA